TTTAGATAATATGGTTCTATGTGATTATTTTGGGGCTAAGCAGCTGAAAACAACTAAGCAGCTCTCTCCTCAAACACAAAAGAAAGGCTTTTGAATTGTTTTGGTAGACAGAGTTCAAACATATGAAAGAAGTTAATCCATATTTTTATAATGTATGTAATAATTAGTTCCATAAATTTTTTGTTCTGTGATATTCTGAGGGTAGGGTTGGTTCATGGAGTCTTTATACTGGTAGGTGGCTGAGAAGACAATAAAAAGAGACCAGGCCCAACTAAGAAGTAAATTTCTTTCCTGAAAACTAACAAATTCTTTCACACCCCTTTATTATTTGTTCTTTCCTCCAGAATAGAATATTTGTTAGATAAATGGGTGAATGCACAGATGGATAAATGAATGAATAGATAGAAATAATGAGTTTCAATACAGAGGACTAACCACAAGACCTCACACTTGCTTAGCAGCATCCTAATTGCTGGAATTAACTGAAAGTTTTCTGTGTAGAATATTCTCATTCCATTCCTTTAAACCTAAACGATGGAATTATAGTTACTTTCCTCTGTCAAATATAGATCATGATATCCAAAGAGAACCACCAGTCTTCCAACACCTACCATCTTCCAATTATCTTTAAAAAAATATTTATTTTATTTTTACAATTATGAGTATTTTGACTGTGTTTATGTAAGTATATCACATACATACTTGCTGCCTGTAAAGGCCAGAACTCATCTGGTTTCTGGGAATTGAAGTTATGGGTGTTGTAAGCCTCCCTGCTGGTTCTGGAATCCAAACCCCAATCCTCTGCAAGAGAAATAAGTGCTCCTAACGGTGGTTGTTGTATTTTGGGTTTTTTTGTTTGTTTGTTTTTAACTCTTTGGCTCTTTGGGCATCCCAGATAAATACACATGAAGTCTTATTCTTGCTCATAAACACCCGACCTTAGCTTGGTATGTTTCTGGTCAGTTTTTCTTAGTTTAAATTATCCCATCTTTCTTTTTCTTCTGGGATTTATCTTAATCTACTTCTGTATAGCTTTCTTTATTTCTTTCTCCATAGCTTGCTGTGTAGCGGGGTGACTGGACCCTAATGTCCTTCTCCTTATCTTGCTCCTCAATATTTTCTTCCATGATAACTCCTCCTATTTATTCTCTCTACCAGCCAGCCCCAGTATTCTTTCTCCTGCCTAGCTGTTGGCTGTTCAGCTCTTTTTTAGACCAATCAGGTATTTCAAAAATCACAGCTTCATAGAATTAAACAAATGCACCAAAAAAGAATACAGCACACTTTTGAGTCATGAAAAAAAATTCTGCGCCATAAACAAATGTAACACATCTATTTAAAAGAAAATATTTTATTGAGCCATACATTTTTCTCTGTTTCTCTCACTACCTTCCTCTTCCCTCCCCTTCAACCTTCTTCCATGGTTCCCATGCTCCCATTTTACTTAAAAGACCTTGCCTTTTTCTATTTCCCATGTAGATTAGATCCATGTATATGTTGCTCATAGTGTCCTCATTGTTTTCTAGGTTCTCTGGGATTGTGAATTATAGGTTGATTTTCTTTGCTTTATATCTAAATGCCACTTATGAGTGAGTACATATTGTATTTGTCTTTCTGGGTCTGGGTTATATCACTCAATATGATGTGTTCTAGCTCCATCCATTTGCCTACAAATTTCAAGATGTCATTATTTTTTCTAATGTGTAGTATTTCACTGTGCAAATGTACCACATTTTTCTAACCCATTCTTCTGTCAAGGGATATTTAGGTTGTTTCCAGGTTATGGCAAACATTGCTGCTGTGAACATAGTTGAGCACACGTTCTTGTGGTATGATTGAGCATCCTTTGGGTATTTACCCAAAAGTGGTATTACTAGGTCTTGAGAAAGGTTGTTTCTTAATTTTCTGAGAGAACGCCATACTGAAATCCAAAGGAGCTGTACCAATTTGCACTCCCACCAGCAATGCAGGAGTGTTCCCTTTACCTCACATCTTTTCCAAGATAATTGTCATCAATGTTTTTGATCTTGGCCCTTCTTACAGGTGTAAGGTGGAATCTCAGATTTGCTTTGATTTGTATTTCTTTGATGGCTAAGACTGTTGAGTATTTCCTTAAGTGTCTTTCAGACTTTTAAGATTCCTCTGTTGAGAATTCTCTGTTTAGGTTTGAACTCCATTTTCTTTAATTGGATTATTTGTTCTTTTGATGACCAATTTATTGAATTCTTTGTATATTTCAGAGATCAGTCCTCTGTCTGATTTGGGGGTGGTAAAGATTTTTTCCCATTCTGTAGGCCGTCATTTTGTGTTGTTGACCATGTCCATTGCTTTACAGAAGCTTTTCAGTTTCAGGAGGTCCCATTTATTAATTGTTTCTCTCAGTGTCTGTGCTACTGGGGTTACATTTAGAAAGTGGTCTCCTGTGCCAATGTACTCAAGTATACTTCCCATTTTCTCTTCTATGAGGTTCAGTGTGATTGGCTTTATGTTGAGGTCTTTGATCCATTTGGACTTGAGTTTTGTGCATGGTGATAGACATGGATCTATTTTCATTCTTCTACATGTTGATATCTAGTTATGACAGCACCATTTGTTAAATATGATTTCTTTTTTCCATTTGACTTTTTGGTAAAAATCGGGTTTTTGAAAGTATGTGGATAATATCTGAATCTTCAATTCAGTTCCATTGGTCCTCCTGTCTGCTTTTATGCCACTACTAGGCTGTTTTCAGTACTGTAGATCTGTAGTAGAGTTTGCAGTCAGGGATTGTGATGTGGCCAGAGGTTCCTTTATTGTACAAGATTGTTTTGGCTATCCTTGGTTTTTTTCCACATGACATTGAGTACTCTTCTTTCAAGTTTTGTGAAGAATTTTGCTGGGATTTTGCTGAATATTGCATTGAATCTGTAGATTGCTTTTGGTAAGATTGCTATTTTTGCTATGTTAATTCTACCTACCCAAGAGAACACGAGATTTTTCCATTTTCTGGTGTTTTCTTCAATTTCTTTCTTCAAAGATTTAAAGTTCTTGTCATACAGATCTTCCACTTGTTTGGTCAGAGTTACACCAAGATATTTTATGCTATTTGTGGCTATTGTGAAGAGTGATGTTTCTCTGATTTCTTTCTCAGCCCATTTATCATCTGTGTAAAGGAGGGTTGCTGGTTTTTTGTTTTGTTTTGTTTGGTTTGGTTTGGTTTTTGTTGTTGTTATTCTCTTATCCTGCTACATTACTGAAAGTGTTTATTAGTGGTAGAAGTTCATTGGTAGAATTTTTGGGGTTGCATATGTAAACTATCATATCATCAGTAAATAGTGAGAGTTTGACTTCTTTTCCAATTTATATCCCTTTTATCTCCTTTTGTTGTCTTATTGCTCTAGCTAGGAGCTCAAGAACTATATTGAATAGATATGGAGAGAGTGGACAACCTTGTCTTGTTACTGATTTCAGTGGGATCCCTGGAAGTTTCTCTCCATTTAGTTTAACTTTGGCTGTTGGCTTGCTGTATAATGCCTTTATTATGTTTGGATATGTTCCTTGACTCCCTGCTTTCTCCAAGACCTGTATTATGAATGCCTATATCATGAATGGATGCTGTATTTTGTCAAAAGCGTTTTTATCATCTAATGAGATGATCATGTGGTTTTTATTTGTCAATTTGGTTATATTGTGGATTATATTGACAGATTTTCATATGTTGAACCATCCCTGCATCTCTGGGGTGAAGCCAGCTTCATCATGGTGGATGATTTTTCTGATGGGATCTTGGATTCTATTTGCCAGTTTTTTACTGAGTGTTTTTGCATCAATGTCCATGAGTGAGATTGGTCTGTAATTCTCTTTCTTAGTAAGGTCTTTATGTTGTTTGCGTATCACAGTAATTGGCCAAAAAGAGTTTGGCAAAGTTTCTTCTGTTTATGTTATGTGGAACAATTGAGAAGTATTGTTATTAGTTCTTCTTTGAAAATCTTGTCGAATTCTGAGCTGAAATCATCTGGTCCTGGGTTTTTTTTGATTGAGAGACTTTTGATGATTTTTTCCATATTTTTAGCAGTATAGGCCTATTTAATTTGCTTATCTAGTATTGATTTATTTTGGTAAGTGATATTTATCCAGAAAGTTGTCCATTTCCTTTAAGTTTTCCAATATTGTGGAGCACAGATTTTCTAATTCTCTGGATTTCCTCCAGTGTCTGTTGTTATGTTTCCATTTTCATTTCTGAGTTTCTTAATTTGGATTATCTTTTTCTGCTTTTGGTTAGTTTGGATAAAAGCTTGATTATTTTGTTGATTTTTCACAAAGAACCAACTCTTTGTCTCATTGATTCTTTGTGTTTTCTTTGTTTCTATTTTGTTGATTTCAGCTCTCAATTTGATTATTTCCTGCCATCTAGTTCATTTGGGTGAGTTTGCTTCTTTTTGTTCTAAAGTTTTCAAATGTTCTGTTAATTCACTAGTGTGGGATTTTTCCAGCTTCTTTCTGTAGACATTAAGTGCAATGAACTTTCCTCTTAACACTGCTTTCATGTGTTTCATAAATTTTTGGTGTGTTGTGTGGTTATTTTCGTTGAATTTTAGGAAGTCTTTAATTTCTTCCTTTATTTCTTCCTTGACTCATTAATGGTTCAGGTGAGCTTTGTTTGATTTCCCTGTTGTGGACTTTCTGGAATTAGTATTGCTGTCAAATTCTAATTTTAAGCCATGGTGGTCTGATAAGACCCATGGGGTTATTCCAATTGTTTTGTATTTGTTACCTAGTAAGTGGTCAGTTTTTGGAAGGTTCCCTGATGTGCTGCAAAGAAGGTATATTACTTCATGTTTGAATAGAATGTTCTATGGATGTCTGTTAAGTCCGTTTGAGTCATAACATCTGTTATTTTCCTTATTTCTCTATTAATTTTTGTCTGACAGACCTGTCCAGTGGTGAGAGTGGAGTGTTGAAGTCTCCCACTATTAGTGTGTGTGTTTAATGTGTTATTTAGGTTTTAGAAGTGTTTCTTTTAAAATATGAAATGCTTCACAAATTTGTGTGTCATCCTTATGCAGGGGACATGCTAACCTTCACTGTATTGTTCCATTTTCAGTGTATGTGCTGCCGAAGCGAGCACGCAAATGTAACACATCTTAAAATAATATTCCATATTCTTAACCACTGAACCTCTCTCCAGCCCCATACTTTGACCCTCTATGGTTATCTCTTAAAAGATGTGAGCTCCTTTGACCTATCTTTGTCCATTGGTGAACATCCACAGGATGGTGGACATCTTAACACTTTAGTTTGAATAAAATCTTTTTAAAGTACAAAGTACTGTAAACAAAAAACTTGAGTCTGGTTAACTTCAGCAGAGGGAAAATGAATGGAATTATCTTTTTATAAGCTAAAATAAAACCCATTTGAGAGCAAGGCAAGAAACAGTCCAAAGAGCTTGACAGCAAACACCTCAATAATGGACTCCTAGCAGCCAGTGTCTGGTCAAGATGCTGCTCCAGAGACAAGAAATGTTAAGCATCTTTCTTTGGATATTTACAAAATTATTTTCAAGTAGAGAGGAATAAACAGAAGGAAACAACTTATCTCCCAAAGGAGAAATCCCCCAACATTCTTTGTTTCTCAGGAAAACAGCTTCTAAAAACTAAAAAAATCACTTGCTCTGGACCAAAGATTGGCCAGATTAAAGAGACTCTCGTGGCTCTGATAAGGTGTGTGAACTAATTGAAGCCAATTAACTTAGCGCAGATAAAGGCTGAGACTAAATCCAACCCTGTTGCACAGCCCCATTTAAGAACTGACTGAGTTGCAATGACTTCAGACCTAGCAAGAAGATCTGAGGTAATTAATTCCAAGTGAGTTGCCGAGAAAACATAGATGGTGACAAGAGTGTTTGCATTGCAAGTATATTCATGTTTCAAATATTTTTAGCATTCATTTTCTGTGCAAAAATTCATACTGTCAGCTATAGTGTTCAATTATATTTCAAACATAGTTGAATTTTTACTATCCCATAATCTATGGGAAGAAATGTACTATTTCCCAGTAGTCTTTACTTCCTTAATATTCATTTTCATTCCTCTAATACCTAAGCCCTAGTAGCTTTTCTCATGTATAAGATTGAAACAAAAGCAATGTTTTGAAAAGCCATGTGTTAAAAACTCCAATCAGGTCTTTGACATTTCCAATTTGAGTAGATTCCATTAACAGACCTGGTGAGGGCTGTCATTGCAGTGACCCTATTAAGCAGAGAAAGTTTGCTAGCTTTCGGTGATAAGATAGCCTAAGAAATAGAAATCAGGACTGATGAGATGGCACTTGCCACCTAGCCTGATGATCCGATTCAGGCCCCAGGACTTATATGATGGAAGAACAGAACTTACAAAAGTTATTTTTGGACCTCCCCAGGTGCACTGAGACACATGTGCATCCCATATATACCCAATCAAGATATATATTATTTATAATATATAAAATACATGTATTTTGCATATGTATATATAGTAGAAAATAATTTTTTAAAAGGTAGAAAGCACTTTATAATCATATGATAAAAACAGAAGTGAATATTAAAGTAACAGGGAGTAAACATAAGAGTTGAGATTCTGGAGTCAAGAAACATGTGTACATGTGGGAGGTGTATGTGTGTGTGTATATATGTATGTGTGTATATAGGTATGTATGTTTGTAGTCATGTTTTCTTTAACTATTGTTTAATCAGAGGACAAGCATTCAAAACAAACCCCTGGAGCAGATTTTAGATTCCTGCCACAATATTTGAAAAAGAATTAGGGAGTAAAGGAATAGAATATTCAGAATTTATAACATTTCTTGGGAAGACGTGAGTACTGATGTGATAAAACTCAGCTCAAAGTATTTTTCATTGGCTCCCTGTGTATTTCCAGACTTGTGCTTTGAGTCCCACACTTCTGCCTGAGGTGAGGATATTAGGTAACTCTGTGTATAGAGGTGTGCCAGGACGAAGTGAAGCAGAACTTCAGGAGTCTATGTCCATTCTTATTAGTGAAATCCAATCTATCCCCAGGTAAGCCCTGTATTTTGAGCATAACTCTTCAGGGAATCGGAATGTTCATCCAAGTTAAGCAAGCCAGAAAATGACAGTCTTAAGGTCAACCGAGGAGCAATATTTCTTTAGGAGCACTTGAGAAAGCTTGGTGGAGATGCAGTCCAAATCCATTTCTTCCGAGGACATGAGAAGTGAAGCCAGTCTGATGTTCTTAGTTGGGAAGATTTTCTGTCGTATTAAGTAAGAGCTCTGAAGAAGTGTCCGTGGATTAAACTAAAGGGACACCAGACAAGGTGACAGGAAATTGCCAGTGAGGACTTGTGCGGTTAATACCCCAATTTTTCTTGCTTTATTCTGTGCTTTTTTGAAAAAAGAAAAAGTAATGGCTAAAAGAGATACTTTATCATGTGGGATTCTATTCACTCCTAACACAAATAAGTTGAGTAATTTGTGGTGCTTCCTTTTAGCTAACAGAAAAGGTAAATTTTAAAGGCCTTGAACCAAAGCTGTTTTCTTTTTGGCAGTGCTAGGAGTTGAAGCCAGGTTCTTGCTTTGCACTAGGCAAGAACTGTGCTGCTGAGTTCCATCCCTAACCTCTTTGCTTGATCTTCATTTTGAGATGGGGACCCACTCGGTTGCTGAGTCTGAACTAAAGTCACTCTGATCCAAGCAGATCAGATGAAAGAATGATCAGTGAAGAACTCTGTGGTGTTGATGAACCTGATGGCAAATGTTCTTTAGATATGAGGAAAATCATTGCCCTTTAAAGTCTTTCTTCTTTCACGTTCAGTTCTGTGAGGCAAAATAGAAGAAGTCATTACGAAAAGATGGATTAGCTGAACTGTACAAAGCCCAGAGATTTGGTCAAACCTCTCTTGTTTGGGGAAGTCAACATGCTGAGAAGAGCTTTGATTGTCCAAACAACTGAAGAAAAACAAAACAAAAACAAAAACCAAAAAGGATGAGAATATGCCGTAATGTATACAAATTACACACGCGCACGCGCACACACACGTTAAAATCCCTGTCCCTATATGTATATGGTTGTAGAGTTTCTATGGCTGTGTTTGTACTGCCAAAATATAGAGGACTAATAACACTGAGACTATCATGTAAAGTTCAACCATTCTTAACTTATCTCACAGATAAGTTAAGATAAGATAAGGCATCAAGACCTCCAAGATTTAGAAATGAAAGTTGTAGCATGATTAATAAAAACACAGAAACAAAAATTGAGGTTCAACCTGAAGGCTAGAAAAGCAAAACAGCCAGCCATTGACTCTTACCTCTACTTCAATCCAAAAAGACAATCCTGCCTCCAAGAATCTCAGAATGAGCCTGTGTGTGAGAGCTGTCTCTTCATGTTTTATATTCCTCTCTAGTGCACCAATACTGCCTGGTTTCTGTGGCAAACTAGTGTGGCTACTGGGATTAAAGGTGTGTCACCACTGCCTGGTCTGTAAGACTCTTTTACTCTCTGAATTTCAGGCAAGCTTTATTTATTAAAATGCAAATGAAATGTCACATTACAGAAAGTAATATTGGTAATCTATGTAGGAAAGAAGAAATTACTGTTTTAGCGTGTTACCTTTTGGAAGAGTCTCTGACTGATCCTCATCTCTATTTGACTCACTAATTTACATTGTTTTATTGTATATTTTCTACATTTTATATGTGTGTGTGTTTGTGTGTGTGTGACTGTGTGTATGTCTCTGTGTATGTTTGTGTATTTGCCAGTATGTGTGTGTGCCTGCATTGTATGTGTGCCTGTGTATGTTTGTGTGTGTGTGTGTGTGTGTGTACCTGTGTGTGAGCACATGTGTATACTACAATGAGCATGTCAAGGTCAGGGGACTGCTAGAGGATGTCCGCTCTCTCCACCATTATGGTCCCTAGGATTGAACTCAATCATCAGAATTGGCAAGTAGTCACCTTTACACATCAAGCCAACTCACTAGCCCTGGCTTAGTTTTCATATTCTGCAGAAAGAGATCCCAAGTGGCCTGGCTTAGGCCATTTTCTTTCCCGAACATTGACTATGAGATTCTAAGTGGAAAGAAACATGATTAATGTCCCCGTCACGTAGAAAGTTAGCAATAGGAACAGATGTCCACTGGCCTGATTAGAGCGGCCAAAATAACATCAGAATGGAGGACTCCCTTTTTCCAAAATCAACAAAACTGATTGCCACCTGGTCACGTTCAGAGGCTTGCTGAGCAGTGGTCTGCACACCACTGACACTGTGGCCTTGTGTCATTAAGACTGAGTGGATTCACTACCACTGACAGTGTTCACACTCATCAACGATGACACCTCTCATCTCCCCATAGCATTGAGACTACTGTAGTCATACTCAGACACGAGCCATCTCTAGCCATGGTGACAGGGCACCATAGATATTGCATGGACAGGTGTTATAAGGTTCGTTATGGTTTTTGAAGTGATCTGTTAAGGAAGATAAACTGGAGAGTCCTGGGTGAGTTTGAAAATGTGTCTGTGCCTGCCCAAAGAGGCCAAAGGACTTAGAATAGGAAACAAGGGACCCTTCTCATTACATTCAGAGGATGAATCTGACTTTCACTTCCAAGTGATATTGTCTGAAATTATACATATGAGTGTGGGTGCGGGGTGGGAAGTGACTGTTCATTGACTATGGAAAGGTCCAGGTTGACAGTTTATGGAACAAAGAAATGGTAAAATCTAATGATTACTTAAAACATATGAGACAAATAAGAGATTGGTACATTACTTGTCAGGATGGGGGTTCATGATTCTCTGCAATATATGATTTCTGAAAAACCTGTTCACAATGAGTGCAGAATGTGTTTGTGTGGGGGGGGTGCGTGTGTGTGTGTGTGTGTGTGTGTGTGCACGTGCGTGCACACTATAATGGTTTTGATGATGATGATGATGATGATGACGACAATGATGATAGTAGAATAACTGTTTTCCAATTTTCAGTCTTTGGGGAAAAAGATAATTATTTAGTAGTTGTTTGGTGGACTTGAGAGATGACTCAGAGGTTAAAAGATTCATTTTTCAGCATTAACAATAATCTACTCAGAAATGCCTGTAGTTCCAGTTCCAGAGGT